ATAATATATATATATATATGTATAGTTAAATTATACAGACAAAATATCACAAACGATGGTCGCCGTCGCGCCGTCGGCCGGCACTGTCTTTTTCGTTTTCTTTTTTCTTCGATGTAAATACCGTAGAGAGGAATTAGTAATTAGCAAATTGTTTCCGGAAGCCGATATAGCATAACCACTCGCAAAAACATATCTGCTTTCTAACACTACACCTAGCATTATCTAGTTTACACCTATCGAATTTTATATACAAGATGTACAAAGTTTCGTTGATTATACTAATACTGCTGCTGACGTGTGCCAATTCCTAGGTTCTCTTCGATCAGTGTTAACGTTCATTTACCAGCGTGCTTTTCTTTTTTTACGCTCGGAAGACTCGAGAGATTTTGCGTTCTCCTGGGGTCCAGCGAGAGATTTTGCGAAACGATTTTTTCTCCGTAGACTTAAGTAAATCTGACAAAAATTCATTTCTCTACTGCTTTCGCGACATCAGCGTTCCAAGATAAGTATCCGCATTTACAATTTTTTGTTTAGAACTTTCTTTTGTTTTTTGGAGCACCGTTCTGTTCGATCGTATTGTATTATGTATACATATATATGTATAGGCACTGCTTGGTTTCTTGGGAATCTCCGATCGCCTAAGTTCCGTGTAGAACTCGGTCGAATAGATCTTATAGAGCGATCGAGTTTCCGTAGTCGATCTTTAGTAACCGAATTACCATGTTTCGTCACAGGAACAACACGTTGCGTCTCTCTCGGTCCGGTCGCACTAACATTGGCCACTTTTCAGGACGTCAGTGTCAGCAATTATCGACGAAAGACGCCGTGGACCCGCTGGCGATCTCGGCGTATTCCTGCCTGCTAGCCGAGCAGAGCTTGCTGGTGTAGTCCGTTTCCCTTTTTCTGCGCAAACAGACCCGAGACAGGTACCTTTCGTTAGTCCCGTTAAAAAATGGATACGTTACGTGAGCAGAGATACAGTAATTTCTCCCTAATTTACGCTCAGATTGCGCACACGAACGGACAATTTGGGAAGAGGAGATGCGATTATTCGAGCCTTCCGTCTCGTTTTTATAGTTGTGTTGGCAATTGATAACTATGTATAAAAACGAGCCGTCCACTAATTTTGTCGAAGTTTCAAATTTTCGAAAAAATTGCTGATATTCGAACAGCTATAACTTTGTGAAAAGAAATCATACAACGATGGAACTCGGCTCATTTTAAAGCCCGAAGTGTCTACTTTCGGATGCCGTCCGTCATTTTTTTCGGTAATTACATAAACGAGCCGCAAGACTCTTTCCAAGAGCCCTTTCCTAAATTGTTCATTTTTGTGCACAATTTGTGCGCGAATTAGGGATAATTTACTGCATACTTAAATTTTGCGTGGAGTCAACGATTGACGTAACGTATCCTAAACGCACCTGATCGTTAACACTTTTTACGGAACGTTACGAGATTCGGGCGATACTCTTAAATACATTATTCGATCGTGCGACGTGAACAATTGTGTTAAATAATTGTCTCTGTTATGTACATTCTCGATACAAGTGCCTGAGATGAATGGAATATTCTTGAAGCTGGAAAACGATTGTAGATCTCGCGACGAAATTTTCTTTCGAGGGGACTGCAGAAAATTATTGAGCACGAGAAAATAATCGTGGGGCTTCCGGAGAAATTGTAAAAGGTGTTTTGGGTCTCGTAGAGAAATTCTCGGAGGGATTTTAAGAGATACGGATGAGACAATGTTAAAACTTACCCTCTTCCAGGGAGCTCCATTACGTCGACAGTGACGCTGTTCACGTAGAGGCGATCGTTGCACCAGAAGAAGCACAGTGATCGCGGCTGGAGCACGTCCATGTCGTAAGTCCACGAAAGTTCGACTCGCCTGATTTTTCCAATTTCACCGGTCGCCCCCGCTGGATGCGCGACGACCATTCGCACCGTCGATCCGTGTTCCAATTTCATGTAACCGCTGCTTGGGCGAAAGAAGCGACTATTTATTTCTGCGAAAATCTACCGAATCGCAAATACAGCGATGGAAAATGAAACTGCCATCCTGATTTTTATGTACATTGCAGGAACAAATAAATTTCGTCCCCGAAACCTTCCTGATCGCGGTAATCATTTTCTTTTTAATTATAATTGATTATATACACCATCGTCCACACATATGTGGACTCTGACCACTTTTAGTAAATAAAATAATAGAGAGAGGCGATTTTAATTATTTTTTGTTATCGTTAGTGAAATATTAATTACGTTATTGATATAATATATCTTCCAATATGGTACAAAGAACTTACGAACATTCCAATGATATTCAGCAATGATTGCACAAATTTTGTTTAGATAACTGTCTTAATTAAGGAAGTGTTCGTATACTTTTGGACGGTGGTGTACGCCTCTGGGCTTGAAATTCACTAATGTAAGATTCGCAGAATTTAACCTGGGAGTTAGATCGACGTCACGAATGATGCCATTTTCGGCGTGAAGAGTAACTTTCATAAATCCTTGGACCCAGCTCTCTGCAGTCGGTGGCCGTGCGAGGTTGATCGTAAGTCGATAATGCCTCCCTGCAAAGGAACAAAGTGAAGTAGATCATCGATGTTCTGGGGGAACTTGTAGGCGGCGAAAAATCGGATCTCGATACATAGGCGAAATTGCGGTTACTGGTTTCTAATCGATATGTAGGGCAGGCTTAAATCAGCTACGTGGCACGCCGCAATTTTCCTTATTACGATAAGAAAGAGAAAGCAGGCTGGCATAATTTATTAGTAATAATTGCGTAAAATCCCTAAACTCCACCCATCGTTTATTTTGTCGTAAAATGGAACCGAACGATAGAAAGTCGTAATTCTATTTCACAATGAGTGTTCCAGCGATGAATGCGCCTCCGTGTGTATGATTATTGTACAATGTCACGTAACGTAAGGAAAAATATATCATTATGCGACCTATCGTTTCCTATTAATAATTAATTATTTATGAACCAAGGTCGTTTAGCTTCAGCGACATCGTCATAGATGGAGCAGTTCTTCCATGTTAACGCAGATTATTTTATTCCACGGTAAAGATCGAAATAATCATAGTAAATCAGCTGCTATTATTTGTTTAATTATTTCAAAATTGTACACGACATAGCAGATAACTGTTTCGTCTCGGAGAAATATTTATTTATGCTCGATTTGGAAAAATGAACGGGTGTTAATACAATTAAAAGTGTTCTTTTAAATGACGCTTACTGCAATATGGGTCCTCCTTGCCGGTGGTGAAGAAGAACTTGGACCCCAGCAACGACAGGACATCCTGACCCATGGCCTGTCGCCTGACGAGCGCCGGACTGGTGTCCGCATGGTACCCCATAACGCCGCAGCTGAGGCTGTTGTTGCTCTTGCAAGAGAAGCACTCGCCCCTCAGGAAGCTGGCGTAGCTGGAGCACTCGTGCGCCACGTATTGGCACTTGGAGTTGATGCTCTCGATGAACAGTTTTATGGCACGCACGTGATTGCAGGCCACCAGCACCCTCGACGCTTCCTCGAGACCCTCCCTGATCAGCGTCAGAGGAAGAGACGGAGTCGTTTCGCTGAGATCCGTACACCCCGGCTGCTCCTTGCCATTGTTGGGGTAGAAGTCCAAGTGGCCACATGGCTGACTCATTCCGTATCCTGGAAGTCCTTATCGTGTACTAAGTTAGATTGGCTATGCTTCGTGCCCTAAACGAATCCACGGATTCGCGGGGGACTTCTTTCGTTACTTCTGCGATTTTTCTGATTGCTATTGTTCGATGTTTTTCATAATACAACCGCTGGGCGAAATGCATTCGAACTCCTACTAAAACGCGATTACTTTTTTTCAAACTGGACTAAGCGACTCGACTTTTCTTTTAACGTCTTGGTTGCAACGCCGACGACTTCAAAATTTGGTGACATTAAAGTATTTCATTTAATCAAAATAATATTGGAAAGGTAAGTTGTATGACGACAATTATATTTCCAATATTCTTACGTTTTACGGATCCTAGTGAAATTAGGAAGATATAATAAGGGTGTCCCACAATTTTGGAACACCCTGTAGATTGGCGTACAACTTAATTTTCAAATCGGAGCAAATATTTCTGTCAAGCACTAATAGATGACATGCCAGTCGATATATTGAACATTAAAAGAACAAGTTCACTACACGCTAACTAAAATATTTCTTTTCTAAATTTTGCAATCACTTGGAATGATAACAAAAAGAATGGAAACCCTCGTATCTAACTCCTTTCGTCATTCCAAGTAATAGCAAAATTGCAAAAAGTATTTTAGTCATTGTACAGTAAACTAGTAGCATTAAACCCTGTAACATTAAACAAATAATTTAACAACAGAGTCCAGTTTGAAGAAGATTGCGTATGCAAAGCTGTTCGAATACTTTTTGCCGGGGGTTGCAGTATCAGAAAACGACTCGAATTAATGAGGACTTGACCAATAGATTTTTCTGAGGTATGGTGTAAGATAGTTGAGTCCTTGGAGATTTTCCTTACCTAAGAAAAAGATGCTTTTACCATCAGTGTGAATGACGTCGACTAGCTTTGCGTCAGTGTAATCCAGTCTCAGGTGACTAGGCATTCCTTGGAAGTATGGCTCGGCTGGGTCCAAGCCCGTGATCCGGCCAATAATCCCGTTCAATTTCTCTCCGGCGTAACCGGCCGTATGGGCGCCCAGACTGTGCCCAATTAGGTGTACATCGTTAGGGTCCAGTCTGTAATTTGTCTGCAACCAAAGAAATTCTGAATAATTGTGGCTGCGAACGGGTTGGAACTGTTCGGTGCCGTGCGAGACGGTACGAAACAGTTTGGAAGAACCTTAACCATTTTCACTCCGTTGTCCCCTCTCAGGGGACCATAGTAATTCAAGCATATTACTCGGATATACCCGGAGACATTAAAGTTAATTAAAGTTCATTGTATTGTACAAAATTACAAGAAATAATAATGCTATTTCTTTTTTGCAGATATGTATACCCTAATGTCTACAAATTTATATGAACTGAATATCATTATAATATCTTACTTCGTTTCAAAAGTATACTATATAATATAAAGGTTCGTAAGTGCACGTTTCTACGACGAAGTGGTGTCGAGTAGTTGGCAAATAACGTCCGGGATGACGCAGAGTGCAAAGGGTTAAGTTTCGTTCGAGTATTGAGACTAGTCTCGACTTAATTCGAATGGAGCGTGGCAAATGAAGAAACAAATTCGCGCTACCTGTAAGTGTTTAACTAGATGAGCGATTTCAAGGCCAACGAGTCTGGTGTTAGCCGTGGCCTGGGTGTAGAGAGGCAGACTGCCTCCTGCCCAGTCGACAATGATGACATTGTAGTCGTCGTGCCTGAGCAACTCATTCCTCATTTCCTACGGTTAATGAACATTCAGGTTAGAAAATGATGCCCGCATCGAGCGTTCGATCGATCTTTACGCAAACAACATTCAAATCAACGGCAAACGAATCTTGCTTAACATAGTGGATTCGCCTAACTCGAAGACATTACATTGCTCTTGAGCTGCTTGTTCTGTGGAAAAATTGGCGGTGCTTAAAATTATGTGATCAGTTCGATTCGTGGCTGATTGAAAACCGAAGGCCGATAGTTCGATTTTGGCAAACCGATCCAGCGTCAATCAATTAAATCAATTTCGGCGCTGATAACTGAATCATTGAACGATCGTTAAATTGACTTGGCGATGCTTCTCGGGCTTACCTTGACCCAATTACTAAGGGGCGTGTCTATAAAACCATGAATGATGAATTTTGTCTTTCGTTTCGGATTGAAGTAGGAGCGTTTGATGGACTTATCTTTAGCGACTATCAGCACCTGACCCTGAAACATCAGAATTTAATTAAACCAAATGTAACGGCGACCGACGATTCTACTCACCTCCAAGGGATTTTCTTTCGTGTATAAAATGAATCTCGTATTGATAACCTCCCGCGGCAGAGGGAAGACGTTCAGGGGCCTGTGGATGAGGTGGTACCAGCTCCTGGTTATGTTCAAACAGCCTAGCTCATCGTAGCAACGTGTTTCGTTCTCGACTGTTCACACCACATCCAGATTATTGTAAACAGGTAGAAAATATTAATTTTATTACCATTGCGAGTGCTATTATCTTGTTGGCCCTATTAGTATAATTTTTAGTATAATTTTTTTCAGCGTATCAATTATAATAACTTTTGGAATAATTACATGGTAACCATGGTATGTTGACCTCGATTCGATCGCTACGTGCCCACTGCCATGGGTCCAGGATTCCGGCGTAGCAGATGACAGGAGCCAATGCGACGAGTAGCAAAATCGACGCTCCTTCGCCCTCTGTGGCTCTCAGCTTCTTCCTCCTCATCCTGCAATCGGATTAAGCCGGGTATAATTAATATCGTAAATAATTCAAGAATAATTGATCCAAATTCGAAGAGAAATTGTTGTCGATTGTTTCACGACCAAGGAAGAAGGGCGGGTAAATGGGCCGCATACCGCATCTTCATTTTCCTACAAAGCGAGCTAGCGATGTCTGACTTTCGCTTCGATTGAACAACTCGCTAGTTCCCACGCTAATCGTAAAATCATGCGGGAGTTTTAACGAACTGCGAGGACGACGAAACAAACGGATATCAAAACGTCGATCAAAACGCGGCGGCTCGATGAAATCACTTTAACTCAACACTGGTTACCGGTGCATCGTTGTAACTTAGTTGAACAGTTGGCCTAATGAAAGATTGGCCTGGAAGAGCGATCGGTTTTCGCGGAACGATACGACTGTCGAGCTGAAGGTACACCACTGTTGGAGATCGTCTCACGTAACAGTGATCAGTATACTAAATGGTCAGAAGTGTGATGGTCTTGTAAAAAAGAGTTGCTATTTCTTCTGGAAGGAGAGGAATGATGGCCTTCGAGGATATGACAACCTTGTCCCAGGCGTCCTCTTAATCCCTGGAATATTCAAGGCCATTCAGATAATTCTTTCGTCACTATTTGATTGGATGGATCGCCGAAGGTTTTAGATTTGACGATATCAGTACCAAAGCAACGAAAGAACCGGTCAGCACGTGTTCGTCCTCGTTTGAAGTACTCGTGTAATTCTTTGAAACATTCTATATACCGCGACTTTCGAGATTGATATTAATTAAGAAACTCTGTTCGACCGGACGGATTCAAACTCGCGTCGCGCCGGGAAAATCATCGTTGTGGAAATATACTTTCTACTGCACAACGTGAAACATTAAGGCGCTATCATTGCGCGGATTCCGCAGTGTGTACGGTCTGAAAAATGCGGAATAAAGAGGAATGCGTAGAAAAAGGTAACGGTAACCTGGGAACCTGTATTACGGTGACGTATAAGGTCGGCGTTCGCGTGGAATGTCGCACGATACCCTGTTCGTCTGCATTTCTCATCAGCAGCTGCGGCGAGGACACGGTGCTACATCGTGTTAACTGTGCTCATCAATTTCAACTCATTCCCATTCGCAACGCTCTAATCTTACTGGCTATAATCGCTCATAAATTCTTTCGCCAACGAATCACCGTTTTCTTCTTTCACTACTGGATCAGATGAAACCTAAACGATACTTGAGAGTCCTAAACTCGAAGCGACGCGGATAAACCGAAGAAAACTCGGTCAAACTCGAGACAATTTAATAAAACTCAAGAGAACCGAGTCTAACTCGAGCCAACTTGGTCATACTCAACAGTACTTAGTCAAATTGAAGACAACTCGGTCGAATTCATCACAACTCAGGTAAACTAGAGGCAACTCGATCAAATTGGGTGCAACTCGGCCAAACTGATGATTATTCAGTTAAGTTTTGGACAAGTCAGTCAAATTTATTCAAACTGATGATAATTCAGTTATATTCAGGACAATTCAGTTAAGCTCAGTTTACTTAAACTTTGGCTTAAACTGCGTCAAACTGAAGACAACTTGTACAAACTCAATACAACTCGGTCAAACCCCGTAAAAAATCTGAAAACAACTCGTTAAAATTCGAGTCGACTGAACTTGATCCATTTGTCAGCGGATATTACATTGAATATCGCCGTTCTCGCGTAGTCCCAATTTCGCCACGCGTTTCCAAACACAGAGCGGCGACGTAACAGCCAGACCCTGGTGTGCCGTGTTGCGTAATTCTAGATCGGTGTCACCTAAAAACGCAGAGAACCCGCTAACTTACACCCATCGGCGGTGTTTACCGTCCCGGCCACCCCGTTACGTAAAACCGGACCCAAGTTGTTGTTGTGCGGCGCCTGGAGATCGGCTTTTCGAAAATGCTTTCATTACCGCTGGAAAGCGTATCCTCGGGACGGTGAAGAAGGGAGAGAGGCCAGGAGAGACCGGATGATGGAAGAGGCCGCAGGATGGGCCCCGAAAAGACCCCGATCTCTGCCCACTCCGCTCGCATTTCACCCGTGGCTGCGGGTATTAAATAATTATTTCGAAAGCGAGAGTGTAACCGCGGCGCCAGCGTTCGCAAGCGATTCGCAAATTCGTCTTCTCTTTGAAACTGCAAGTCCTCGCTTTTCATCGTTGCATTCCCCGTGCCGCCGGATGTTCTTATCTTTTTAATTAATTTTATAACGATGTGAATGTCTGGACTGTGGCTGCGATACTATCGGATTATCGTTTCCGTTTCTTGAGCAAGCCGAATTTTACGTTTACGCTCGTTCCCATGATTTAAAAAAGAAAAGCTAAAGGTAACTGCTGTGTATTTCTGTACAAGAATAATAAAATTGCATTTAGTTATTGCTATTTTTTTATAATGTATGTATGAATGAAGATATTGATTAAATCATTTTCTATGAAAGAGCCTTTATTGTTCCGACAATTAATATCTGTTTGGTGTAAAAAATTCTTAAACTATCTTTCAATATCCTTCGATAATATTTTTGTTTGCACATATTGATTTTTACAACGTTTAGCTCACGAAAATGGTTTCAATGAAATTGTTCATTCAGGCACAGACTTGGCATTAAATCTACTGAAAAGTCTATTGATTTTCTACGGGCGAATGACAAGAACGAATTTATGTAGACGTATAATTTCAACGATTTCGAAATAAGAAACGAGAAATCGGCCATTTCGACTGACACGGTAGATTTAGTGTTATGTAGACTCTAGATGGTTGCTTCGCGAGAAATTTGCCATGCTGCGTTCTTATCATTCCGCTAACACAAACACACGCACACACGGCCACGATGATTTCCCCCCGAAAACTCTCTAATCGCCGCTCACGTTCGGATGTTTCAGAAAGCAGAAGCCTTCGAGGAACTTTTGCTTCGACGACCTAATTATCCGGGAAAAATCATGCGTGGAAAATGTCGGTGAAAACCGCCCGGGCAGGCCTACTTACGGTTCGAGTGGCACTGTGAGTGATTAGTGGAATCAACCGTCCCCACTAATCGATATTCATTGTTTACGAGATCTTGATCGTGGAACGCGATAAATGAAACATACTATTCACGTTCGCCGACCATGAATTTGTGGTTCGGTTTCAGTATCCAGAGTCGACTGTGGGAATCGATAGTTGATCAATTCCGCGAAAGATCGAGCGATAACACTGAACCTACCTAGCATTGAAATCGAGCGACCCGTATGTTTGTATAAGTATGATAAGATTGCATTTATTTGGCCTTCTTGCCAGTTTGATTAGAATATTTACATTTGAATAAGAAATTTATTGAATCACTTTTTATCAATGCTTCTTTATCGTCGGTCTTAGTATGTTCAGCGTTGAGGACAACATCGATTAATCGTTCCCGAACTTATTGGACTTCCAGTGCCTAGAAAGCTGTCCCAATTTTTCACCGCGTAAGTCTCCAGATCTCTAATTGCTGGAAATATGCGGTTTTTCATCGAGGCGAGACATTCAACGACGAATATTACTCCAGTTGTCCGTATATCAATTAAGGTCACGGTGAAATTATCGCTGCATTCTTCCGAAAAGTGAAATTCGCTTCCTCTAGTCTGCCCAGGCTGAACCGATCCGAGCGATTCGTACAAACGATTCTGTGATTGCCGCGAAGTTTATAAATAACTGGTGTACAGGGAACGGCGGGAAAACCGAACCGTCTGGGAGTGTCCACGGAATAGAAACTCCGAGTGGACGAACATAAACGAATGGATCTGTCACGGGGCGTCGTCGTCTGAAAGGCTGTCCGGGCTGTCTCGTTTCTTTTCCGGGGACGGTTTCCCGGCGTGCACCGGCCAACGCCGTTTGAGAGCTACTGGCATACCTACATATCCACGGAGACACGAAGAGAGGGACACGATTGTGGCCTAGATTCGACGTCCTTCCCTCCGGCAATGCTGTACCACTTCCTGCACACGCCTCTCTCTTCCTCCAAATCGACTGGGTCGTTTTTTTTTCGATGCTGACGACTTCCTCTCCCTTTGCCGGCTGCTTTCCTCTTTCTTGTTTCCATCGGCAGGGAATGCCTCGAAAGCCGTCTAAACGGGACGAGGGGAAAGTAGACGCCACTCAGGGTGGTAGACGTATCGGTGCTTTATTTTTCCTGCGGTGGTGAGAACCTTCTAAACCTTCTGGGCTCCAGATCTTTTAGTAGACTTTAGTCTAGACACGTGTAGACTCTAGAACTTTCAGGACTGCTGGATCTTCTAAACTCTGGTTTAGACACTTTTAGACTCTAGATCTTTTAAGTCTGCTAGATTGGGTGCATCTTTTAGGCTCTATATAGTCATTCTACATCTTCTAGACTCTAGACATTCTGGACTCTAGACCTTTCAGATCCTAGATCTTCTAGAGTAGACACTAGTCAAGGCACGTGTAGACTCTAGATCTTTTAGGTCTGCTAGATTTACTGGATCTTCTAGACTCTAGTTTAGACACTCCTAAACTCTAGATCTTCTAGGACTGAAAGATTTGCTTGATCTTCTAGGCTGCTTTATATTGTAGACTTTCTAGATCTTCTACATCTTTTAGACTCCAGACCTTTTAGACTTCAGACCTCTTAGTCTCTAAACCTTTTAGGCTTTAGAGCTTTTAGGCTTTTCAAACCTGCTGAATCTACTTAAATCTATATCCTGTTGGATCTGCTATGCCTTTTTAGAATTGCTAGACCTGCTAGATCTACCACCTACTAGAACTTACAGACCTGCTAGATCATCTAGACTTATTAAACCTTCCGAATCCGTCAGTCCATTTGGACCTTTTAGACCTTCTGGATCTACTAAGACCTCTTTTAGTTCTTTTAAGATCTTTTAGGCTTTTTAAGACTCTTTTTTGGTTCTGCTAGATTTTGCAAGACATTGTTTAGATCTTCTAAGACTTACCTTAGCCCGGTTTATTTTCCTCTCATTTATTAATTTTTCTTTAATGTAGAATTCTTCTGTTTCAGCTGCGAGGAAAGCTGAGATTAGCCTACCGCAAGCAGAATGATTCTAACGGCGGATCAGTCAACAGGGTGAAATCGTAATTCCCGGAGTTACCTAACTCAACGCCACTCAGACTCTCGATCATCCGAGTCGTCTAGATCCTTCCAGGTAGTTTCTCTATTGAGTTTCTTCATACCATGCCACAAAACCATTGGGCTGTACTGTATGACTCGCGTGATGCCTCTACTAATTTTCACTCGTACCAGTGACAGACACTTCGTAGTTTACGTGTTGGATAATTCATCGGGTACTGACAATTCTCGTTTTGGACAGAATGCTCGATTTTCTGGGTGACGGAGAAATTGACCGAGAGTTATTCCATAGTGAATGAATAATTGCATTGGTCAGTTTCCGAGAGAAGACGTGTGTTTATTTTTGAGTCTGTCCGAAGTGAAGGCTGATATGTGTTCAAACGGTTAGCACGAGTTAGGCTTGTTTGCAAACGGGTATTACCATGGACTAGAATTAATATTGCTGTCCCGAATCGACCATGAATAATTCAACAGCGTTGTGGCAATGTTTTTTTCTGGCCGAAATGCGAAGTGTAATAAATAAACGAGGAGTCGTCTATTCTGGCCTGGAGGGAGTGAAGGACTCGAGATGCTAAGTCACCTTGACATTTAAAGGACGATCGACGGTCTGTCCGGTGACCTTCAGGAAGATCGCCGAGATCTTCCTAAGCCTTGTGCAAGACTAGGAGAAGCCATAGACGCGGGTTCCCTGGATCCCAGCGCTGCTGCCGCAGTACAATGATCGCTGATTAAGCGGACGTGAAATTCTTGAGAAAGTTCTTAAACGAGCCGAAGTTAGACTAGCCGAAGCCCCACTCTCCACTTCCTGTCTCGAACGCGCGCTGTCTCCCGACCCCTCTATTTCTGTCTCCGCATGTTTCACCGGTTGATTATTCTAATAAACGTATAGCAATCTAATCACTGTTATTACTGTGTCATCCCGGTGCACATGAACTTGAGAGGTGACGAACGCAGAGAACGGCGGCGCAGCGGAGAAAAGTAACGATGTGTTTGAATCAAAGAACTTCTGATCGAAATGACATAAAGCGATGATCTTTCTCGAACATATTTGAACCTTGAAAATGATTGTTGAACTTGAAATATTCCGACAAAATTGTTATTTATCCAATACCAGGAACAGTTCAACTTATTAGATTTAATACATCGTTTTCCGTAGATTTTGACACGCTAATTCGTATTATTATTCGAATCGTTTTACGATCTTTAATCGAATAAGTTATTCGAATAATTCTTGAATAGAATAAATTAAGAATATTTTCTTATTCTATTAAAGAATTATTTGAATAGGTTCAAAATAACTCTTTCATTCCACTAAAGAATTATTCAAATAAATTAAAAATGATTCCACTATTCTATTAAAGAATTGTGTGAATAAATTAAAAATAATTCTTTATTCTATTAAAGAATTGTCTGAATAAATTAAAAATAATTCTTTACTCTATTAAAGAATTGTCTGAATAAATGGATAGAATAATAGACAGAACATTCGACTGAAGAGTATTTCTTTGGATAATTATCTTACATAAATATTGAATGGAAGCAATTCGAATAACAATCAACTCTCTGGCATAAATCAGCGCGCCGATGTTGCGTGGATTAACGTCGAACCTATCTCGATGGATCTTCGCACCCGTGTAATTAGCAGTTGTCATTTCTAATTGAGAGTGGTCTTGAACGATGAAGAATTGAGTGCAAGGCTTAATTGATAAGAAGTGCGAAGGCTAAAATCGAGGATACCGATCTATCTTCATTAATTGTTAAACAACGACTCTGTCATTTCAACAATGAAATGAGATTTTCCAGAGAGATCTGTAAATACATTTTCTTGGTCTCCAGAGAATAATTAGGAAGGCTCTTGTAGAATATTTATCAGCCGCGATTCAGGCTACGGACGTTCATAGTCTATTCCTTCGGCAGCCAGCAATTTGAAAAGAAGCATGGTCGAATAGGTGGAAAGAGAAACGCGACAGCGCGAAGAGCCATCGAGTTATCCTGATGACCTAATCCACTGTCCGGCAGAGAAATGCTTTCAATTTGTATTTACGTGTAACGTAATCACTCAGAGACGCTCGCACGCACACGCATACTTTTCCCTGTCCTTTTCTTCTCGTCCCGTGTGACGCGCAGCAAACCGTTACGCAATGCCGCCTCGCCAAAAATTCACGAGCCACGGAATTAATTTCTCCGGGTCCCTGTCGGACAGATGCCCGCATCAATAATTTCATTCCAGGTAAATAACTCGCGCTCGGACACCCGAGTAAATATTATATTATTCATGAGTAAACAACTCGTCGCGTCCTAGACATCATTTAAATTAAAGTTAAAAGAAGTTAAGTTAAAAGAAATGTGCGCGATGACTTTTTTCAGTGATCTTTAGTGACCTTTAATACTAAAGACTATTTTAA